ATGAGTATAACATCGGGATGACCTTATATCTTTAAAAATGTCAATATTTAAGAAAGCACAGTGCTCTTTAACATAATTAAGAAATGACCTTGTATCTTGTGAACTATTAACATTTTTAAAGATATAAACTCATCCCGATGTTACACTCATCGAGACCTTTCATTTGAGTACCCACATCAATTTTTCATATATTTATATATATATGTATATATGAAAAATATATCAAAATGCATGTGGGTACTCAAATGAAAGGTCTTGATGAGTATAACATCGGGATGACCTTATATCTTTAAAAATGTCAATATTTAAGAAAGCACAATATAATTTAACAAAAGTTATTATTTAATAAAGCAAAATTTTATTTATTTATAGTTCACAAGTCACGGCAGTCATATAGTGACTGCAAGGTTGCTAGTTATGGATTACTTAGCTACAAGCTCATATACTTTTGCAACGCGTATAATCTCTAATTTTTTTTCAATATTGTACTATGACAACTACCTTAATAAATTCAAAGAAGAAAATTCTTATTCAGTGTAATGACGAAATCGATAAATTTATCTAACTTTTTTTTTTAATTAATAATAAAATTTAATCTTTACAGTGAAGATGATGTTGGTAATGACGACATAATTTTCGAAGATTTTGCTCGTTTACGACTCAAAGGTGAAACAGATGCCTGACCAAGTGACCAATGCACATGATATCCATCTACCACACTTGTTTTGAATGAAACTAATTTAAAACATGCCTTGAAGTCTATTATGTAAAGTATAAAGCTCAAGAATATGAAAAAAGAGCTAGCTCTGTATTTCAGAAGAACAGTTTTGTTTATTGTCAAGTAACACGACTGATTATAATTTTAAAAACACTAGTAAACGATCAATTACGCTTATTAACTTATTTTTATCTGTACATACACAACTTACAGACAAACTAAAAAATACTTTGTTTTATTTTAAAGCTATTGAGCTTATCACGCACATTACTCATCAGAGTTTATTACAAACGCGTTCATACATTGTATTTTTTGTACATTATGTAGATTTTTTTGTTCAAAGAATTTATTTATTGCAAGTTTAGGGAAGAAAAAGCGATTTTTTTTTTATTATTATTTTTTAAGATTATTTCTATCACAAGATTATTTTTATCCACATGCACACGAAACTTTGTAAGTCAATTAGCACTGCAGCATTTGGAATTGTAAAATTTTTTTTTTTAATTTTTTTTTATATGGAAATAATTTTCTACCTCTTATTTATTTAAAAATATTTCAATGATTCTAATTCGTAAATGTCTAATTGGTCCATTGTTAAAAAAAAATACTTCAAGTCATTGAAATTCCTTATTTAAATATTTAAATGCGCAGCTTTTATTTAAGGGGGGAAATACTTGTAGAAGGTCGTTTTCTTTAATTTTTTTAAGGTATAAAAAATTGATATTATTTATTGAAACTATCAGGTTATTTTATAAATATATTTATGAGTATTTTTTCGTATTAAACAACAATATAACTTAACAAATAGAGATATCAGGTCCACAATTTTTATCTGAAATTAATGGCACAGAAAAATTATTTTTTTTTTATATATGTATCTTCTATATGAAACTCAATTAAAAAAAAAAAGTAAAAATTTTCATTTTTTAGAGGACTTTGAAATTAAATCGTGTTTTTTTACCATTTTTTCATATATTGTTTATTAAAAAAAAAAAATTAGAAAAACGGTTCACCCTAAAGGCCATCCCTGCAACTTCCCGCTCATTTTGTACTTAAACGCTTCAAACTACACATTACGTTTTTGAGCTCTTCGAGCTCAAAAATATTATTTTTGCGTCAATTGTGGTTGGCGGCAATCGACGCAGTTTTTGAAGTTCCATGAAAAATTTTCAATTTTAAATCGATCGAGCCATGAATTTTGAAGTTATTACAGAAAAAACACTTTTTTCGATTTTTTTCGACAGCGATATCTCACGAACGCATCAACCGATTCTATCATTTTTGGTGGCGATCGATGGGGGTTTTCAAGGTTAAGAGCTGATTAGTTTTTGAGACCGATCGGTTCAGCCAATTCGGAGATATTTGAAAAAAATAAAAAAAAACAACTTTTTTTTTCATTTTTTTTGCATTTTCTCGAAGTCTACCGGTCCGAATCGGTTCAAATTTTCAGGAAATCTAAGTTTAGTGAAGCCCTTTCGAATGACACCAACCGCGATGAAATCGGTCAAGTCGTTCAAAAGTTACAAGAGGTTTACACACACACACACACACACATACAGACGTACGGACATCATCGTAAAAATAGTCAGGGAAGCTTCCTGTGACCTTCAAACGTCGAGATCTGATGAAAACTCGATTTTTGTAAAACGGGGTGAAAACAATAACTTCCCGATTTTTGAAAATCTGAGATTTTTAGCGGGAAGTTAAAAATAGTTTAAATAAAAATATCGCTTATGATGGAGGTTCATATTCAGTGTAATTGTATAACGAAAAGTAATTTTTCTGTGCCATTAATTTCAGATTAAAATTGTGGCTTCCATAGTGCACACCAACTGTTAAGTCGGAAGACAACCTACGATGTGTATCAGTTGATATCTCCGCTATTTTTTGTTATATTGTCGTAAAATATAAAAAAAAAGTTTGGAAAATCCAAAAATTCACGCCTCATAATCTCATTTTTCACAATAAAATTAATTAAAAGCAAAATAATAAAAAACAGAAAACTCTGCTATGGTTTAGTGGCGCCATAATTCTAAGGTGAGGAAAAAAATATTTTAATAAAATAAATAGATAGATTTATAAAAAATACACAGGCATATATTAGTTTTTTATAAATAATAATTTAACGACACTTATATTAATCTGTAATGAGAATTAATTTAGCCGATATTTAATAATTAAAAAATTTTTTTTAACAAATAAATTATAGCAAAAAGAATGAGAAAAAAAAAATTACCATGAAGAAATTTTAAAAAATTAAAAATGCAATTTTTTAAAAATAATTTTTCAGAAAAAATTTTTTTATTAAATAAAATTAAAAAATTATCAAGTGACTGCTAAAATTTTAATGTTATTAATCTGTAAGTGCGATAAAAATAAAAAAAATCAATTTCAGTTTTGAGAAAACTGCTTTTTTTGAAATGTCGAGAGAGCACTACCTCAACACTTCGCTTATGAGGCATGCAATATAAATGTATATAATAACCGGATAGTTTCAATAAATAACATTAATTTTCATACTTTAAAAAAATTAATAAAAAATCAGCATGAAAACGTTTTTCTACACGTATTTTCCCCCTTAATAGCACTTGGTAAAAATATAAAAAATGACGATTAAAAATATCCGTAATTTAAATGTGGATCTATAAAAAATTCATAGGAATTTCAAACGGTCAATTGAATTTTTAATGATGATAGACTTAATTAACAGTGGCATTAGTGTATTAAATAAGTAATATAACTAAGTAGTTAATATACACGGTCTATGTGATTCAAACGATCCATAGACGTGGATATATAACAGTAATTATAATTATTATAAAATTAACAAGAATTTTTTTTTTTTTTATTTAAATACTCAGTCTTATTTTTAACTAGGCATTTATTGCACAATTTATAAATAATTATTTAATATTAATATTCATCCATCAACTAAGTAACACAAAGTATTCTTTCTTTTTCTATCATTATTATTTATTATTAATGATTTAAAAACATTCGATAAAATTGAGTGTAAATATTTATTAATTTTATCGAAAGTCATTTTGCTAAAAAACCAAATTGCTTATAGAAATACTAATATATTATTTTACAGATAATTACTGTAAAATAATTATCTCAAAGAATGTTTATTGATGATCACTGTGGGCATATTTAGGCAGCAACGAATGATAATTTTAAATAATTAAATTTGATAATAATTATTTGTAAATATTCAACTATTTTATTATTAATATTATATTTATTTAATTAACAATTTAATAAATATAAACTTGTGTTCAATAATATTTTATTTTATTTACTCTAATTCTGGACGTGTCAAATTGTAAATGTTTATTTAATATAGACAGTAATATTTTTTAAAATATATTGATAATGTTAATTAGAGTAATTATTTAATACATAATGACAGCCAGTAAATAAACGCTCGTTTTTTTTTTATCGTTTCATATTAAAGGATTTTAAAAAATCATTAAAGTAAAAAAAATGTCAATCAATTAATTATGCAGAACATTTTATTCATGTGAAAAAAGTCTAAATAATGTTAATTAAAAAAAGGCGAATTTATTTCAACAAATGATTAACAATTTAAAAAAAAAAAAATGTAACAAAATAATTGTAAAAAATATCATACATTTGGAATATTTCATTTTTTATATGAAATTTTAACAATGAGCATTTACATGCACATTTAAATCAACTGATTTCATTGAATGTAACAAAAGTGAAATACATATTTAACTATAAAAATTTAGAAGAAATATAATTATAATTAAGTGAAAAAATGAATTTTATTGAAAATATTAATTAAGAAGAGTATGTGTACATAATATATTGTATAATGTATAAATTATGTATTCTTATATTATGTCTGTAATAATTTAATAAATACAGCATATTAAGAACTAAATAATTGTATATTAGTATGAAATTTAATTTTTAATTTTCTTCATTGTCTTTATTTAATTCCGCAATGACATCTTCAAGGAGCTGTTGACTGAAAATTTTCATCTTCTCCTCTAATTTGGCGATTCTCTCGTTCAAATCCGATAACTTGTCATCTATATTCGGAGTTTGTTGGCAGATTTTGTGGACCTCATTCTTCATATCCGATAAACAGTCCTCAACAATAGATTTAACTTTTTCGAATTGAGATTCAACTTTGGATTGTATATCATTTAAGAAGCGCTGAATATGTTTCTCGACTATATTTCCACAAATTGCCATTGAATCATTACCAAAGTCCGAGCCCAAGGAACTTGCCTTTTTCTTGGCACCATCATCAGAGTCGGGGTTTGAAGAATTACAGCCTACTCTGACGCCAAGCTTATTTGAACATGGAGAACAAGTATATTTATTACCAGCTGCATTGTACGCCTTAGCAAAAGATATTCCGACACATCTTGAATGGAAGCAATCATTACAAGAGGTACATTGGATTAAATTTTTATATTTAATAACTTTCGTGCAGATCTTGCATATATGCTGTGTGCTGTTGATTTTTGGAGGCATAGTTATTCTTGAGTTATTAATTTACTTTGTAAACTTTTAACTTATAAAAACACACTGTAAACTTTTCTTCAATTTTTATATTAATAGAAAATTTTATAAACTATTATTACTAATAATTATAATAAATTTATTACAGCTGTATGAAAAGACTGGTTATTCGCACGTTAGCACATGGCGTTACAATAAACATGTGCGGCACAGGAAAATGGTAATTTTATCCATTTTATGTGCATGCGCACGGTTCAATTACCGAATACTCGGAAATATGACCTCACATGTCCACTACCATGCATAGTTCTGTTTGTTGTTTTCTTGTTGTCTTGAGGGAAATATTTTCTCTGCACATATATACTTTTTGGCGTTTATATTTATATCTAAAATTAACTAAGTCAATATTATCATTACTTCTATTATATCTAATTACTTAAATTATTAATATGTTACTGATGTGATATTAATATTAATGTCGAAACGGGAAGGGAATGTATCAGAGTTTTTAAAAAACTGTACATCTGGAAATAATTACTACTACTTTTTGGCGCAATAATTTAAGATAATAATAATTATTTGTAAATATTCAACTATTTTATTATTAATATTAATTTATTTAATTAACAGTTTAATAAATGTAAACTTGTGATCAATTATATTTTATTTTATTTACTCTAATTCTGGACGTGTCAAATTGTAAATGTTTATTTAATATAGACAGTAATATTTTTTAAAATATATTGATAATGTTAATTAGAGTAATTATTTAATACATAATGACAGCCAGTAAATAAACGCTCGTTTTTTTTTTATCGTTTCATGTTAAAGGATTTTAAAAAATCATTAAAGTAAAAAAAAATGTCAATCAATTAATTATGCAGAACATTTTATTCATGTGAAAAAAGTCTAAATAATGTTAATTGAAAAAGGCGAATTTATTTCAACAAATGATTAACAATTTAAAAAAAAAAATGTAACAAAATAATTGTAAAAAATATCATACATTTGGAATATTTCATTTTTTATATGAAATTTTAATAATGAGCATTTACATGCACATTTAAATCAACTGATTTCATTTAATGTAACAAAAAGTGAAATACATATTTAACTATAAAAATTTAGAAGAAATATAATGTTAATTAAGTGAAAAAATGAATTTTATTGAAAATATCAATTAAGAAGAGTATGTGTACATAATATATTATGTCTGTAATAATTTAATAAATACAGAATATTAAGAACTAAATAATTATATTTTAGTGTGAAAATTTATTTATAATAATTTTTAATTTTATAAATTTTTTATTATTCTACTAGCTATAGATAACACTAGAGTATTTCAGAATTCACCAGCAAGCATCTGGTAATTTTTTTGATTTTTATTAAAAATTAATTGTAAAAAAAATTTGCACTTGTAATATATTTTAATTTCGAGATGTAACATGTTTTTATAGTAATAAAGTTAGCCGACATTTTTAATTTTTTTACTTTGCTTAATTTATTAATTTATAACTGAAAAATATTTTCAAAATATTGTACTTATAGTTTTTGAAGTTTTTAATAAAAGAAAAAAATTTTTTTGTAATAATTCTTTAATAACAAAAATCATAAATTTTTAGATGTCGGCTAATTTTATTTTCATCATGTTTTTGTTGAAATTTTTTATTATAAATTATTTATAATCAAAATCCATAATAATAAAATAGAGACATCTGATAAATATCAAAAATTTTTTAACTAACAAATTATAGCTTAAAAAAAATTATAAATGGTATTTTTTAATACTATTCCGCAATAATATCTTCAGGAAGATGTAGAGTGAAAAATTTCATCTTCTTCTCTAATTTGGCGATTCTGTTGTTCAAATCCGATAACTTGTCATCTATATTTGGAGTTTGTTTGCAGATTTTGTGAACCTCATTCTTGATATCCGATAAATGGTCATTAATAGTAGATTTAACTTTTTCGAATTGAGAGTCAACTTTGGATTGTATATCACTTAAGAAGCGCTGAATCTGTTTATCGACCATATTTCCACACTTTGCTGTTAAATCATTAACAAAATCCGAGCCCAAAAAACTTGCACCATCATTCAAGTCGGAGTTCGAGGAACTTGCCTTTTTCTTGGCACCATCACCAGAGTCGGAGTTTGAAGAATTACAGCCTACTCTGACGCCAAGCTTATTTGAACATGGAGAACAAGTATATTTATTACCAGCTGCATTGTACGCCTTAGCAAAAGATATTCCGACACATCTTGAATGGAAGCAATCATTACAAGAGGTACATTGGATTAAAATTTTATATTCAATAACTTTCATGCAGATCTTGCATATATGCTGTGTGCTGTTGATTTTTGGAGGCATAGTTATTCTTGAGTTATTAATTCACTTTGCAAACTTTTAACTTATGAAAACACACTGTAAATTTTTTTTCAATTTTGATATTAATAGAAAATTTTATAAACTATTATTACTAATAATTATAATAAATTTATTACAGCTGTATGAAAAGACTGGTTATTCGCACGTTAGCACATGGCGGTACGATAAGCACGTGCGGTACAGGAAAATGGTAATTTTATCCATTTTATGTGCATGCGCACGGTTCAATTACCGAATACTCGGAAATATGACCTCACATGACCACTACCATGCATAGTTCTGTTTGTCGTTTTCTTGTTGTCTTAAGGGAACTATTTTCTCTGCACATATATATTTTTTGGCGCAATAATTTAAGATAATAATAATTATTTGTAAATATTCAACTATTTTATTATTAACATTAATTTATTTAATTAACATTTTAATAAATATAAACTTGTGATCAATTATATTTTATTTTATTTACTCTAATTCTGGACGTGTCAAATTGTAAATATTAGTTAATATAAGCAGTAATATTTTTGAAAATATATTAATAATGTTAATTAGAGTAATTATTTAATATATAATGACGGTCAGTAAATAAACGCTCGTTTTTTTTTATCGTTTCATATTAAAGGATTTTAAAAAATCATTAAAGTAAAAAAAATGTCAATCAATTAATTATGCAGAACATTTTATTCATGTGAAAAAAGTCTAAATAATGTTAATTAAAAAAAGGCGAATTTATTTCAACAAATGATTAACAATTTAAAAAAAAAATGTAACAAAATAATTGTAAAAAATATCATACATTTAGAATATTTCATTTTTTATATGAAATTTTAACAATGAGCATTTACACGCACAATTAAATCAACTGATTTCATTTAATGTAACAAAAGTGAAATACATATTTAACTATAAAAATTTAGAAGAAATATAATTATAATTAAGTGAAAAAATGAATTTTATTGAAAATATTAATTAAGAAGAGTATGTGTACATAATATATTGTATAATGTATAAATTATGTATTCTTATATTATGTCTGTAATAATTTAATAAATACAGCATATTAAGAACTAAATATTTGTATATTAGTATGAAATTTAATTTTTAATTTTCTTCATTGTCTTTATTTAATTCCGCAATGACATCTTCAGGGAGCTGTTGAGTGAAAATTTTCATCTTCTCCTCTAATTTGGCGATTCTCTCGTTGAAATCCGATAACTTGTCATCTATACTTGGAGTTTGTTTGCAGATTTTGTGGACCTTATTCCTGATATCCGATAAATTGTCCTCAACAGCAGATTTAACTTTTTCGAATTGAGAGTCAACTTTGGATTGTATATCACTTAAGAAGCGCTGAATCTGTTTATCGACCATATTTTCACACCTGGCTGTTAAATCATTAACAAAATCCGAGCCCACAAAACTTGCACCATCATTCAAGTCGGAGTTCGAGGAACTTGCCTTTTTCTTGGCACCATCATCAGAATCGGAGTCCGAAGAATTACAGCCTACTTTGACGCCAAGCTTATTTGAACATGGAGAACAAGTATATTTATTACCAGCTGCATTGTACGCCTTAGCATAAAATATTCCGACACATCTTGAATGGAAGCAATCATTACAAGAGGTACATTGGATTAAATTTTTATATTTAATAACTTTCGTGCAGATCTTGCATATATGCTGTGTGCTGTTGATTTTTGGAGGCATAGTTATTCTTGAGTTATTAATTTACTTTGTAAACTTTTAACTTATAAAAACACACTGTAAACTTTTCTTCAATTTTTATATTAATAGAAAATTTTATAAACTATTATTACTAATAATTATAATAAATTTATTGCAGCTGTATGAAAAGACTGGTTATTCGCACGTTAGCACATGGCGGTACGATAAGCATGTGCGGCACAGGAAAATTGTAATTTTATCCATTTTATGTGCATTCGCACGGTTCAATTACCGAATACTCGGAAATATGACTTCACATGACCACTACCATGCATAGTTCTGTTTGTCGTTTTCTTGTTGTCTTAAGGTAACTATTTTCTCTGCACATATATACTTTTTGGCGCAATAATTTTAGATAATAATAATTATTTGTAAATATTCAACTATTTTATTATTAATATTAATTTATTTAATTAACATTTTAATAAATATAAACTTGTTTTATTTATTTATCTGGTAAAGAATTCTATCGAGGTGCAAAGACACCTGTTTATAGAACCAGTACAAAAATATCAATTTTACAATATATATATTTTTTACAAAATTTTTGTTGATAATACAATGCAAAAAGATAATAAGTACAAAAAGTAATCAATTTATAAAGAAAGAAATACAAAATTATAAATAATTATCATAAAAAGAAATATCCAATCAAATACTCGCATTTTCCATTACATTTTTTAAGCATGTTAACCATTAAGGTTTCTTATCCAGTAACTTAACTTTTTTTTTAACAATTTTTTACTACAGTCTATAGTTTTCATATCAGCAGGGAGTTTGTTATAATATTTAATTGCTACATAATAAACATTCTGAGTACTAATATTTTTGTTTATTTTTGGTAGAATTAGCAGCTTAGATCTTGTATTTGTACATTTTTCATAGAATAGGTTTTTACATTCTTGATAGTAGTAAGTTAATGCATTTATTATAAATGAGTCTCTAATTGTCAAGGGGATATTGTTGTAATTATTTTTACATAGCTTTTTAATTATTTTATGTTGAAGAGATGTGACAGGTTTAATCGAATTGTTATAGGCTCCTCCCCATGCAACAATGCCAATGTGATCAATTATATTTTATTTTATTTACTCTAATTCTAGACGTGTCAAATTATAAATATTAGTTAATATAAGCAGTAATATTTTTAAAAAAATACTAATAATGTAAATTAGAGTAATTATTTAATATATAATGACAGTCAGTAAATAAACGCTCGTTTTTTTTTTAATCGTTTCATATTAAAGGATTTTAAAAAATCATTAAAGTAAAAAAAATGTCAATCAATTAATTATGCAGAACATTTTATTCATGTGAAAAAAGTCTAAATAATGTTAATTAAAAAAAGGCGAATTTATTTCAATAAATGATTAACAATTTAAAAAAAAAAATGTAACAAAATAATTCTAAAAAATATCATACATTTGGAATATTTCATTCTTTATATTTAATTTTAATAATGAGCATTTAGAAGAAATATATTTTTAAAAAAATACTAATAATGTAAATTAGAGTAATTATTTAATATATAATGACAGTCAGTAAATAAACGCTCGTTTTTTTTTTAATCGTTTCATATTAAAGGATTTTAAAAAATCATTAAAGTAAAAAAAATGTCAATCAATTAATTATGCAGAACATTTTATTCATGTGAAAAAAGTCTAAATAATGTTAATTGAAAAAGGCGAATTTATTTCAATAAATGATTAACAATTTAAAAAAAAAATGTAACAAAATAATTCTAAAAAATATCATACATTTGGAATATTTCATTCTTTATATTTAATTTTAATAATGAGCATTTAGAAGAAATATAATTATAATGAAGTAAAAAAATGAATTTTATTGAAAATATTAATTAAGAAGAGTATGTGTACATAATATATTATGTCTGTAATAATTTAATAAATACAGGATATTAAGAACTAAATAATTATATCTTAGTGTGAAATTTTATTTATAATAATTTTTAATTTTATAAATTTTTTATTCTTCTACTAGCTATAGATGACACTAGAGTATTTCAGAATTCACCAGCAAACATCTGGTAATTTTTTTGATTTTTATTAAAAATTAATTATAAAAAAAATTTGCACTTGTAATATATTTTAATTTCGGAATGTAACATGTTTTTATAATAATAAAGTCAGCTAACATTTTTAATTTTTTTACTTTGCTTAATTTATTAATTTATAACTAAAAAAGTATTTTCAAAAAATTGAATCTGTAGTTTTTGAAGTTTTTAACAAATAAAAAAATTTTTTTTTATTTTTTTGTGATGTCAGCTAACTTTATATTCATCATGTGTTTGTTGAAATTTTTCATTATAAATTATTTATGATCAAGATCAATGATAACAAAATAGTGACATCTGATAAATTTCAAAAATTTTTTAACAAATAAATTATAGCTCTAAAAAAATTACAAATACAATTTTTTAATGCCATTTTTTAATACTATTCCGCAATGACATCTTCAGTGAGTTGTGGAGTAAAGGATTTCATCTTCTCCTCTAATTTAGCGATTCTGTCGTTCAAATCCGATAACTTGTCATCTATATTTGGAGTTTGTTTGCAGATTTTGTGGACCTCATTCTTGATATCTGATAAATTGTCCTTCAATCAACAGCACATTTAAATTTTTCAAATTGAGATTCAAATTTGGATTGTAGATCACTTAAGAAGCGCTCAATCTGTTTGCTATTTTCTTGTCACCATTATCATCCGAGTCGGAATCCGAAAAACCAGAGACTACTCTGACACCAAGCCTATTTGCGCATGGGGTACAAGTCCATTCATTAACAGCTGGATTATACACCTTAGCAGAAGATATTCCAATACACCTTAAATGGTACCAATCATGACAAAAGGTACATTGGAATACATTTCTATACATAATAACTTCCCAGCAGTCCTTGCATATAAACTGTCTTGATTTTCGGAGGCATAGTTATTTTTAAGTTATTAATTCACTTTGCAAACTTTAAACTTATAAAAACAGACTGTAAATTTTTCTTTAATTTTAATATTAATAACAAAATTTATGATCTATTATTACTAATAATTAAAATATATTTTCTGAAGCGAGTAGTTTTTTTTAGTGTTTAAATGTGAACTTGACGCAAAACTTTACTGTGTCTCTTCCATACTTTATGTACAATGTAAAAACATCTACTTTTAGATGTAATCAGTCTGGCGCGGCGGTGACGGCTCAGTCGGTCCACAAGACCATCGGGATTGGATCCTAAACGCTGGACTCTACATTTTGCTTTTTTTTTTATTTATCCAACATTTATTAATCCTAATATAAAATTGAGATGAAATGTATGTGGCATCAAACTATTCGTAACGTGATTGGTTGAATATATCATAAGCATGAAAATATATGCAAAGTCTATAGTCAAAGCGCGCGCTTGCGCGCGTAAATTCAAATTCTATCCTAATATAAAATTGAGATGAAATGTATGTGGCATCAAACTATTCGTAACGTGATTGGTCAAATATATCATAAACATGAAAATATATGCAAACTCTATAGTCAAGGCGCGCGCTTGCGCGCGTAAATTTGAATTCTAGTCCTAATATAAAATTGAGATGAAATGTATGTGGCATCAAACTATTCGTAACGTGATTGGTTGAATATATCATAAGCATGAAAATATATGCAAAGTCTATAGTCAAAGCGCGCGCTTGCGCGCGTAAATTCAAATTCTAGTTACAAATAAAATAATCAATGCTTCGCATCATAAATTGTGTAAAAAAATTTAATTTGTAAAAAAACTAAAAATTTTAATTGCAATTTTTAAAAAATATTTTTTTCTAATTTAATAAATGAAAAAAAAAAAAATGACATTAAAGTTAGGAGTCACTTGATAATTTTTTAATTTTATTTAACAAAAAAATTTGTTCCAAAAAATTATTTTTAAAAAATTGCAATTCAATTAAAAAAAATTTTATTTGTAAAAAACTTTAAAAATTTTAATTGCAATTTTAAAAAAATATTTTTTTGTTCCAATTTAATAAATGACATTAAAATTAGTTGTCATTTGATAATTTTTTAATTTTATTTAACAAAAAAATTTTTATGACATTAAATTTAGCTGCCACTTCACAATTTATTTAATTTTCTTTAATAAATAAATTACGGAAAAAAAAAAAATTATTAAAAAAATGGACTGGATAGAAATTTTAATAAATTAAAAATGCAATTTTTTTAAAATAATTTTTTAGAACAAATTTAAAGAAAAAAAAAAAAAATTGTCAAGTGACAGCTAAATTTAATGTCATAAAATTTGTTCCAAAAAATTATTTATAAAAAATTGCATTTCAATTAAAAAAAAATTTTATTTTTCAAAATTTCTACATGTCAATTTTTTTTATTTTCTTTTGCCATAATTTATTTGTTATAAAATTCTTAAAATTATTAAATATGTGCCAAAAATAAATTTTCATAAAAAAAAATAATAATGTCGGCTGTTTAAAAAAAGATAAAAAACTTTTCAAATGTCAGCTGATTTTAGTATCATTATTCAAACTAAACTAGGTAGATGGCATTGCAAATAATAATAATAATAATAAAAACTGATAATGATTATTATTATTGTATATAACATAACCATGTGAGCATTGAAAAATTTTTCATAACGTTGAATAATCACAACCAACAATCACCGTCGTTCTTCAGCTGTTAACTATCAGTGTCACGTGTGTTTTATAAAAATCAACTATTTACGCAATGAACTATCAAATTGTATCAATTACATTTTTATATCTCGACAAATAACTATTATCTAATTTTGTTAACCTCTATTACATAAACTGTCACCGGGAAATTTAACTGGTTAAATCCAGCACTCCATTCATACTACTTACTCTCATAAGTATTCTCATTAATTATAAACTTATCAATGAAAATTTTAATGACACGTAACAATTTATTTTAAAAAACTTGAAATGATTTTCAAATTATAAATTAAAGTTGGAGGTAACATAAGAAAGTTTTAAAATGCACTGGATAAGGATTTCACAAATTTTATGTGTTTTTGGTTTTCTTAAAGAATTTAGACCAAATGAACCATTTATTTTTGAGTACTTGACTCATCCGCCGAAAAATTTTACTAGCACCCAAGTAAGTTTTTTTATTTAATTAAATAAATTGATAATAGTGAAATTAATAGACATTTATAAATTTTTTTTATTAATTAAATTAGAACTAAAAACATTTATGACACCAAAATTAATGAAAATTAAGTTAGCCGACATCAAAAAATTTTTAGAATATTTATAATAATAAAGTTAGCCGAAATTTTTGATTTTTTTATTTTGCTTAATTTATTAAATTATAACTAACAAATATTTTTAAAAAATTGCACTTATAGTTTTTTAATTTTTTAACAAATGAAAAAAATTTTTTTGTAATAGTTCTTTAATAAAAAAAATCATAAAAAATTTTAGATAATCTACAATTAGTCGGCGTTCAACAATTTTTGATTTTTTTTAACAATTAAATTACAATACAACTAAAAAAATATTTTTAAAAAATTGTATGTATAATTTTTTAAATCTCATATTATGTTCATTTTTTTGTAATAATTTTTTCAATAAAAAAAAATGATAAAAATTTTCAGATGTCGGCTAATTTAATCATCATAAAAAATTACACTTATAATTTTTAAAATCTTCTAAATGTGGAATGTTTTTTTTTATTTTTTGTAATAATTTTTTTAATAACAAAAATCCTAAAAATTGTCAGATGTCTGATAATTTAATTTTCATTATTTTTATTATAAATCAATTAGGTATAAAAATAAAATGTCCTTAAATAATTTTTATATATTTGAAATTTTTTCATAAAAATTTATGTTAATTTCAGTATCATAATAATTACACTGTGATATTAAAATCAACAAACACTTGCCAACTTTTTTATTTTAAAAATAAATTAGTATTACAAAAATATTTTTTGAAAAATTAAATTGATAGTTTTTTTTTTATTTTTTTACAATAATTTATAAAAAAAAAATAGAAATAGTCAGGTGTCTGAATAATTGTACATATTTTACATTAGATATCCAAATTAAGGTAGATAAAAAAAATGAATTGATTAAAAATAATTATTTCTTTTTTTTCTCAGGTCACTGAAGAAATTTATCCAATAGGAACTTACAGTAATTTTGCGACACTAATTATCGTCTTCTTACTAACAGATTTCTTGAGGTACAAGCCAGTGATAATATTATGTGGCTTATCGGGCATAATAACATTCATCGGGCTAATATTAGGCGACTCCATACCGGCTTTGATATTCGTTGAAATTTTCTATGGGTTTTACATATCAGCGGAAGTTGCATATTACACGTATATTTATGCAAAAGTTGATAAAGAACATTATCAAGCAGTGTCCAGTTACACTAGATCCGCGCTCTTGCTCGGTAGATTTATCACCGGTGTTATAGCCCAGATAATAATAATATACGGCTGGTTGGATTATCACCAACTCAACTACCTCACTGTCATTGGTGAATTTTTTTTAATTAACCAATAAATTAATTAAAAAAATAATATAAAATTAATCTATTTATTTACTATTTCATAGGTCAAGTGCTTGCGACAATTTGGTCGCTATTTTTGCCGTCTGTTGGACAATCGGTTTATTTCCACCGCAAAGAACCGATCGTTGATTCTGATGTTGGATCATCCCAAAGAATAAATGATGATAATGCGTATAAAAAATTGTCTTTTTACAGTAAAGTAAAAAGAGCGTATTATTTACTGTGGAAAGATTTTGTCAAGGCATTTACTAATTTGTATATAGTTAAATGGTCACTCTGGTGGACCCTTGCTAGCTGTGGTTACCTGCAAGTGCTGGTCTACGCACAGTCTATTTGGCAAACTTCTATTAAAGAAAATGAAACCATTTACAATGGGGCTGTTGAAGCGCTTTATACGATTATTGGTAAATATTAATTGTTCTTGTAGTTTATAGTTTTTATTTCCGGAACAATTAGAGATAAACAAGAAATATTATCTTGTATAGAATTTATCATAATGTTTTGTTTGCTTTTATAAAGATAATTTCTTGGAGTTAAATGACAACTCTGCTATTGAATCAGTTAAATTGAATTTAATTGTATGTCAATAATTTTTATTAAGACTAAAGTCCATTTTAATATACTCGCAATTATTTTTTGTTAAATAATTTGGTTAATATTTACAAGTGCGGTCCACCATTTTAATTTTCATTTTTATGAACAAAATTTTTATTTGATTATATTGATATATATATATATATATATATTTTTTTTGAATACATAAAAAATGAACAATTAAAAAAAAAAAAAAGTTACTCTAAATTCGAAAAAAAAAAATTGCAATAAAGAATTATATTATTTTTTTGTATTAATTTATTTTTAGGTGGATTAACGGTTTACGGTGTTGGAAAATTAAAACTCAACTGGGCGTTGTTTGGAGATATTATATTATCAATATTTTCATTTATTATGGCTGTTTTGTTATTTGTAACATCATGGAGTTATAATATTATGTTGCAATACGCAGTATATATCGCTTTTGGTGTAATTTATCATTCTCTCGTCACAGTTGCAAGGTATATATAATTTTATTCATCAGGGTGAATTTTAATTTAAAAAATATTGTGATATATTTAATCATGAGGTTAATATTAATTATTTTTATTGCAATTAGCTTTGAAGTAGCAAGTAAAATATCAGAAGATAGTTTTGGCTTGATTTTTGGAATAAATGTTTTTCTGGGATTAACATTTCAAAGTTTATTAACCTACATTGTTACCAGCGGGAATGTTAAAAAATTTCATATCAGAACTCAGGTAAATTTGAATCTTACGCAATATTTTAATACGCTCATAGTAAATAATAATTAGAGTTAAAAATATAAATTGTTGAGTAATAATACTATTATTATTTTTCTTTCAGTTTACAATTTATGCCGGATATTTTGCAGTGCTGGCTTTAATATTTGCGCTAATATCGGTATTTACAATAATAAAAGCGTACAAAAAAAAAGAAAAAAGTCAGCATTGTTGACTGAAAATAATAATAAATAACAGTCTTGTCACCGATTGATGCAATATTGCAATTACGTGACCAATAACCGCGAAATTTCTGTAGTGAACAAAAAGTTACCTTACCAAGTACTATAATGGTAAATAATATTTTATACATCTGTAAATATCAATAGTTTTCAGTTTTCTAAGATGAAAAATGTATGAGCATTGTGATACTTCCGTTTTATATAGTTTTGCTATATCTTTAGAGTACAAATGATTTTTTATAATATCTATACAACAAATGTTAAGTTTAGAATTTTATATAGACCAGTATTTTTTATAGATAAATAAATAAATAAGTAAAGAGAAAAAGCCTTTTATGTACACGTATTTATGTTATTTATTTAGCGAGTACGTTAACTTTCAACACGTGGAATTACCCACGCGAAACTCCAAAAAAAATCGTTTTGTTTTATACATTTACGTACGAGAAAACCTTGAGTTTGAAAGTCAGTGGTTTTAAAGAATATAAGCATTTAATTTTTGAATGGGAAAATCCCGGTATTGTGTTTAATGATTTATTGAGAAAAAAAAAAAAAAAAAAAAAAAAAAAAAAATTTTCATGTAAACTGTTAATTATTGAAAAATAAATTTTCATTTTAAAACTAAAAAACTAAAACTTGTCGATATCAAAGTCCGAAATTTAGGACAAATTTATATAAAATGCTTTTAGAAATGTGTACAACTGTACGTTGTTTAGATACTCAACAATATCTAATACCAGTTCAAATGATAACGGTATAGCTTCTCTAAGTGATGGAATTGTCTTCAAATAATATTCGAGAAGTACGAACCTATAATTAGCATCTTTTATCCTGATTTTAATAGGTTTTTTAATGACCAAATAGTAGGAATCACTCGAGTAACTTTCGATTTTTTTCTTGAAAAATTTACGTAGGACATCCTGTAAATCAGTTTTTCGTGTCAACAATTTTAATTTTTTAGGGTCAAAAACTTGCATTGAAAAATCGTACATTGTCATTTCATAATCACCGAATTCAATAAAACACTCCTGTAATTCTTTTTCAATGAAATTTATTTTAAAGTCATTTACGATCTCTCTGAGATTTTCATCGCTGGAAATTAATTCAGTCATCAATTTTATTTCTTCTTCTGGAACAGGTAATTTGAATGCAGCCTTAAAGACCAAATCTCTTAAAGCAATAGCTATACACTCTTTTTGATTTGCTTTAATATTTACAAGTCGCTTACGTTTTGAATTGTTACGTATTAAATGCTTAGAATTTTCATCTATAGGCAGCGTGGCGTAGTATAAAACTCTAGATAAGGCAATAAATTCTGAAGTAGCAATGGACAACCTCTGTAAGCTGCTAGATTGGGCAAAAATGTTGCTGGGTCATTATTTATCAGTGCGTATATGTCAGCCCCCAAATTTGATAATAATGGAATAAATTCTTCCACGATAAAGATATCAATGAACATTTCATGATACATCATCATTGTCGCGATGGTTTAACAACTTATCCATCGATTTAAAATATTCATTATCTGGAGCAATGGCTGAAATATATTTATAACATCCCTTTTCAGCAGCGTACATCAGCAATGTTTTATTTGTAAAGCTTATAATGTCTACGTTGACTTTTTTGAGATGATAAATTATTGATGCTTTATCATAAATAACAGTATAAGCAACTAGTGGCATTTTATCACCAAAATCGGGACACCATTCTTTGTTTTTGATGTGCTTTAAAAAAATTTGTTGTCCAAATTCGGCATCAACATTTGCATTAGCTTTTACCAATATTTTTATTATATCGCCTCCTCGACGGCAATCAGGGATGAAAGATTCATATTCTAATTCTGATTCATAGAAACAAGCCAAATGAATGGGTTGAGTTCCGTCAGCAGCAATTGCGTTGGCATCTGCTTTATAATCATTAACTAGGAACTCCACCAAATGATCTTTATTTTTCATGCATGCAACATGCAATGCTGTGAATCTAGCAAATTCTCCAATTGTTATTATCGGTTCATTTACATCCAGTCCATTTTCTAATAACAATTTAAGATTTTCCAATTTGTCATCTTCGATGGCTTGATACATCAGCGAGTTGCCAGCTGTCGTTGGAATTGATTCAAGATCCATTTTATATCTTCTTTACTATACTAATAATAATAATAATTAGTATTATTATTGTTATTATTGTTACGTCGAAACGTAAAATGATCTTGTGATATGTAAAAAATATAAAATAGAGTTAGTAAATTTCTAATACAAGCAACGTCAATATTTATAAAGTAAAATGGTAAATTTTAAGTGCAACGCTAAAAATAAAACTGTAATTATTGACTTGCTTGGACTGGTAAAATGTATACTTTAAAAGTATAATTTTTACTGTTTCAAATATTAAATTCTTCCAGAGTGAGACTCCCTTCTTTTTCATTTGAGTTCCGCTTTACTATTTGAAGCTATAAAAATTAACCAGAATCCGAGTGAATATTACAGTTTACTTTTTTCCGTGTAAAAAATATGAATTTAAATTCGACTAACTATAGATATATTCGAAAATTTCAATAGAATGATTGAAATAATTATTAGAATTGGAACATAAAATCTTATTTTTGGACTTACTTAAATATCAATGTCACCGTTTCTTTGCTTGTTGCAATTTAAAAGTTAAGTAATCTAAACTTACTTCACAAACAATTTATTTTAAATTTTACACGTGGTTTCAATGAAACTTAGAAAAACCTTTAGACGATGTTAACACAAGGACATCAGAAAAACGAGAGAGATTTTTGGGTGGAAATCGTACAGGTATTGAATTTTTGGGCGTTACCAATTCTCTCTACCTAGGGGAGAACATAATCCTACTATTTTTCTATTTTCGGAGGCTCTTACCCCTCTTTCAAGTTGTCTACAAATTTAACACGAGTCTTCTCTACTTAGGTCAGAGTGAAATATTTTTTTCTCACTTGCTCTTATGTTCTATTATTATTAATCTATGTGTTTGTGTACCCGAAAAAAAAATATTTATATAAAAATTGGTTACATATGATTATATATGAAAAATCACCAAATATAATTATATATTTATTATATCTAATTAATTATTGGGTTAATTTTATGGATAGAGTATTTAATATGGTCCTACGCAATTCTCTGTAACCAATTAAAATGCAAAAAAAATATCTAGATATAATTTTACGATGGAAAATATTTTATTTTTTATGAATTTCAATATTCAAATATTCAATTATTTTATTGAATTTAAAAAATCTCATTTTATCATATAAATACACTGACCACAAAATTTTTATTATTCTCTTAATAATATAGATAATAATAATACTCAATTTTTGGCGTTATTATTATTATTATTTTATTTTTTTTATTTTTATGATTATATATAACAAATGACGTCCGTTAGTTTAAAATAAATAAAAAAAAAAAAAAAAAAAGACTAAAGTATTGAGAAGAAAAAAAAATAAGGAAGTAATAAAAAACTCAGTCGGTCATGGATGAAGATTAAGATTAAGTAATGATACATAATTTCATTGGGATTTTCCCTTGCCTCGGTATTGTAAAAGATGAAGTCTCTCGAGATGAAATAAATGATGACGATAATAATGTTAATACGCTACATTAAAGTGTTACTCGTACACATACACATAAAAGTGTTAAAACGACTGATTAGTAAGAGCATGAACAAATATGAGTGGACATTAGCTTTGTATAGTGTGAAATGAGACAAATGTACACATACACATTCACATAATAAAATAAAAAGGTGAAACACATGGTAAATACTCGGCATATAAAGCAGCGCAACAACATATTCTTCAACAGTTAACATTACACTTTGCATTGAAAAACAACGCGAGATTTTTAATCATTTATTTTTCTTATCTCATCTCAATAGATGTATATTGATTGATTAATCGAGACTGTGCTGACTCTACTCTAATTGAATTGTGATTAGTGACAGTGATTCACTTGTTAATTTTAATAAAAATGAAGCTTCAGGTATTTATAATTTACAACTATCATTAATGTTAAAATTTATTAATTAAAGATAATATAGTACAATATTTAATTGTAATAGAATGTTTTTTTTTTTTTATTATTATTATTATTATTTAATCAAAGACCTTGTCTTTTATGACCTCTTATTTATCAACATAAATAAAATCTTCGTGTATATTATAGATTTATTTATTACTCTTAGATTTATCTTATCGTTAATTGAATTTATAAAATTAATAAATTTTTAAATTGTAATATTTAAATTAATATGTTATTTGAATTTAAACTTTGACTTTATTATTATTGTTGAATATTTATTTTGATGAAGAAGAAAACTATTAACAGTGATTCGATCAATCATAATTCTAACTGGGAATTCCCGAGTAGTCATTCAATAATAATCACGTGATTGAGTTTCAGATTGCATGTGCTTGTTAAATTATTTTGTTTCTTTTTATTACCTTTTAATAATTTTATTTTAAAAAATAAAGATGAAGTAATGAAAATTTTTGAAAATTGAAGAAATAAAAAAATGAATAATTTAGCGGATGTAGTTGAGTCTTTCGTAAATATTAAGTACCGAGATAAAATATTTGATTTTAAACTTTTGAGTTAGTCATCGGTCAACGTTGGAATAAATTAAACATAAGATTTTTTTATTTACCTTTGACGTACGTGATAGCTTTTAAAATTGTTATTATTTTAGTGCGTATTTACGAAAAGGATGTCTGTACGTATATATTATATGATAGTTATATATAAATATATCTACATATATATTTTATAAAATGTTGTATTGAAGGGGAAAGAAGAAAAGTGGGGAGATGGTAAAACCAGGCGAGATTTCTCCGACATTTGTTCAGTTTAACTTTGCCATTGGCCAAATACACTCTTATTTTTTTGCTCAGATCATTAGATTTTCCTTTTTTTATATTTTTATATATTTATATTTATATATTCTATTGATATTGTTTTATATAATGGCGAAATCACGAGTAAGTATTTTATTTCTTCTCATTTTTTATTAAAAATTTTTTTTTTTATAAAAAATTTTTAAATTATATTTTTATTTAATTCATTATTAATAAAAAAAATTATTAGGTAATTAATTTATTTAAAATAAAATAATTAAAAAGATTTATTTAAAATAAAATAATTAAAAAAATTTATTTAAAATAAAATAATTAAAAAAATTTATTTGAAATAAAATAATAAAAAAAATTTATTTAAAATAATAAAAGTTATATTTCTTCAATTTTTTAAAATAATTTTTAAATAAAATTTTATTTGAAATTGAAAAAAATATTTTCAACGTTTAAGTAAAAAATAGCTTCCTGTTTTATTAAATTAAAAAAAAAAATAATCATTGTAATTTAAATATTTCATGTTTTCCGTAACTTGTTTTATTATCACTGACCAGTAGAGCGTTAATATTTGTAATAATAAATTTATAATAATAGAATAACAAAAAAATGAAATTTAAAATGATAAATTAATTACCTATAATTATGATAATTATTTATTTATTGGCATGCAACAATCGAATTATCTATTATAGTAATACTAACGGGGTAAAAATGAGATGAGATAAAAAAAAAGGTCAACCTCATATCTTATAACTTTATATAAATATAAATTTCAAGGTGAATAAATTTCGGCAAAATATAATCCCGGATCTATTAAAAACCACATGAGTTTAAAACCCGGCGATGCTTTCACTTTTTTACACCTTTTATTCAATCGTTACTTTCACCGGTAAATAGCTGTCACGAGCATTATTTCTATCAGCGTGAGTACGTGTGTTAATCTTAATCTTTATTTGTTTATCTGACTCATAATTTAATAATAAAACGATCGGAAGAAATGAAAAAGGTAAAATAATCGCGTAAAAAATGACCCAATTATGGCTTACCTGTAATAAAAGACGTGAAGAAAAGAGAGCAGTAGATTTCGAAATAAATGGTCGGCTGTGGGTGATGGTCTCAATTCGACTTCTATGCATGTCCGAATTATATGTCGCTTTCTCCATATTATCCATTCGAGAAAGCTTTTTTTACTTTTAACTGTCTGGTTCAGCTCTGATCTTCCCGTAAATTTTTCTCTTCATCCTCGTAAGTCGTATCGGGTCTTGTTTATTTGACTCACACTTACTGATAAAACCTGAAAACCAGTCTTTTATTTATTATAATTTTTATAGAGGTGAGATCAATTCAGAGAAAATCCGGTATTAAATCTCGAAATTTATATAATCTTATTTTTCTATTATCTAATTTATCTATTGCGAAAGCCTGAGAACCAAAACAAGACTAGAATATTAATGAGAGAGACACGGCCGAGACACCATAAAAAAAAAAACAAGACCGATGTCGGCTAGACCTTGGTTGTCTTTACCATTTTTAAATTAATTTACTGGATGGTATAAAAAATATAATGCTCACTAAGCTAAACATTTTTTTTAATTAGTCATTTCTTTTTTTGAAAACTCCGAAATTATTTATCTGACAGTCAAAACTTCTTTTATGACTAATTGTTTATTATAAAAAAATATTTTTAGGTATCCAGTTATAATATTTAACTACGTCCCAAATATTTTGAAATTATAATATTATTAGTTAATAATTTAACTAGATAAAATCAACAAATAAGGTAAAAGCCCCAATTGAAGCTATAAGAGACAAAGTTATGATTTCATTTTTTTTTTTAAGCAATCAAATATCAATATCGTTGAATTTAGTTTGTGATAATGTCTCAATTAATGTTTTTACTAATCAATTTCTTTTTTTAAAATGATTATCAGTGATAATTACTAATTAATTTTAAATAATTAAATAGAGTATCCGGATACATCAATTATTGACAGGTTAAAAAACTGATTGATCTAATTATTGACATACCTTAGTCCCAATTATTGACACCTATACTAAGCATGCGTCAAATCATTTGTTTATTCTTATTTATCGAAACTTATTATTAAGTAATTAATATTATATTAAAGTTTATTAATAATAATTTCTATAAATGATTAATTACTATTAAAAATATAAAAATTAATTAAAAAACAATTTTTTCAATCTGAAGAGTTCAAACTCTTACAGTAAATTTTTTAGGTT